ATCTTCTTCAGTACGTAGAGTATTTCATAAAGCGTTTTTCCAGTTTAAACAGGCCTACTTTTACCTTTCTGATGCTGGACACAGCCCATGAGGACACAGGCATCAGAATAAAGCAAATTGATGAAGACCTAGCTAAACATGTGTCTTTTCTTGCACGTCAGCCAAATACTGTATCCTTCATTCTTTCAGATCATGGTAATACATATGGCCGTTTTCTTTCCGCATCACCTGAATCATATGTAGAAATATTTCATCCTTCTTTGTTTATGATTGTACCTGACTTTGCCTCCAAAATCATTGGAGATGAGAAAATTAAGGCATTGCATATAAACCAGAGGAGATTAGTAAGCCTCATAGATGTACATTATACTTTGAAAGGACTCTTACCTAATATTAAAGAGCTTGATAGAAACGTTTCAAAGTACAGTGTGAACAATAATGGACTTTTAAGTCCTGTATCTCCATTTAGAAAATGCAGTGACATCCCAAGATTGCAACCAAACCTGTGTATCTGCCAGGGTTCCTACACAGCAGAAAAGAACTCCTCTTATTATTCTTTATTTGCAGAGTTTGCTTTAAATTGCATTAATAAACACATTTCTGAACAGCAGGGGAACAACAATGGATCTTGTCTTGCACTTGTTGCCACCAGATTTGATAATGTAAAAATCAGCATGGACGGTGGACTTGGTGGCACCACCATTGTATTGGACATTTATGTGAAATCATATAATGCCCAGTATGATGAGGACAGGTTTACAGTCAGTATGTTTTTTGATTCTACAACCCAGAGAGATGGAATACTTTTCCTAGGTTACCACAGATTGACACCTTTCAGTATATACCAGTCATGTGCAGACCATTCTGTTGACCTGGATATATGCATTTGTGAAAGATATCAAACGCATGGAAGGAAGACAAAACACTTAAATATTGTGCCCCAAACTGTTCTGTGGACTAAGACTTACAAGACAATAGTTGATAAACCATGTCTGTTCCTGAATACACGGAACTACACTGCAGGGGTGGCGCTGTCTATATCCAATGCTTGCTCAGACAGGAGGTATGCCATCTCATTTGACTTCTTTAGTAAAAACCTGTTTTACTCCAGCAGAATGCCTGTTAAAGAGACTGTTGGCCCAGTAATGGAAACATTGCTTGTGGTTGGTATTAGAAAAAAAGAGAACATGCCATGGAGATACAAGTATGCTATGAAATTCAAATTACTACCTGCTTAACAGTAAAGGTCATTCATTGACTGATTTGGCCAATTACAGCAGGATCAGTAAATCTGAAGTCGGTGGTTGAGTATAGCACCCAGATAATTAGCATTTTCAGAAGGTCAACAATGGGAGCCGCTGTATTGCCTTTGTTTTATTTAAACACATATGCTGACACGTTTTTTAATGTACATCAGTGTGCGTTTTAATGTGCTTTCCCTCATCCATTTGCCATATTCTGCAAAAAAAAAAAAAATGTGCCTGCTTATGTACCATATGGTTTGCGGTGTTAAAATGTACAATGTATGCATTTTTCTGTTGATTTCTATGGGCACCTAAACCTCACAATGACACAGTAAATACATGCAGACTGCATTTTTCCATAATGGACTGCAACATAGAAATATAAACAGGCCTTGTGTGAAAATGTATTCAATAAAAAACTATTGCAAAGAAATATAAACAGGCCTGATTAAATTGTGACAGTTCTTTGTTTTCTTCCATTTTCCTCTGGTCACTGACTGCCCTGTAAAACTAGGAACTTCTTATGCGTGAGCACAGACAATTTTCCCGATCCTTTTTCCCTGAATGAAGTGACAAGCATAAAAATTGGCATCCTACTTACCATGGAAGGTAAACTAAAGAAATAAAAACATAAAAATATTTTTGATCATGAAAACAAATGAAAAGAACCCCTTAACTGCAATGCTTTTGGCCTTTACATTTTTCCAGCAAAGTTTTCAATAATCTACAGTTGGATTTCTGGCAGTTTACTGTGCCACCCCTCAAGAAAATACAAATTCTTTAAGCAGAAGACTTACAAATCAGCTGGAGCCCCCCAGTGTCCTTGGTTGCTAGGACACAAGTGGTACCAAGCACCCAAGCAATCAAGCACTCAGCTGTCCACTGGCTTGTTTCAAATGGATAACAAGCCAGCTCATTCTGAGTGACATCATTGACCAAATATTATCTATACCATATTTTAGCCAGGTCGCACAAGGTCGTTGTGCTTTTGTGAGCGGGCCATTGGGGCCTGGTATGTAATGTCACTTTTGCTATAGTATATCCTACAAGTGTGCCCCTAATGTTCAAGTTTAGGGCATCTCCAAGCAAAAGGGGATTTTGTCTTGTTAATGTTGCCCTTTAAGATCTATTAAAGAACTGCCACAGTATTATTTGTAAAATTATTTTACATTAGTACAAATCCCCCAGGGCGTGCCCAGCTCCCCATTCCCTTTCTTTTACAATCCCTTGCCTGTTTGCCTTAAAATAGAATTGATTTTCAAGATTTGCTTCCCATTGACTTCTATGGGGTCCACATTAAAGTTTACAGATTAAAGTCTGCAGATTTTTGGACACATTTGCTGAACACACCTGCTAAATCGAACCTAATGTGTCCATCACTAGTTGTAACCATCAAACTAGCCTTTCCATGTGGCAGCTGTCGGAGCCGATAAAAATTAATATCTATGTAAAAGCTTTGATATAAAAGGTGTTCCTTGATATCGTGAACTGAATCAGCATGTGGCTGTGTGATACGCAAATGAGGAACATCAAAGGGTTCTTGGGGCAGGGCACTGATGAATGAAGATCTGCTGGACTGTCTTATCTCCTTATCTCGAGCCTGACCGATGCTGGTATTTACTGCCCACACCTGGGTCAGCAATGCAGCATACATGCTGGGATGGGGCAGGGGCATATGATGGAACCTTCTTACCATGTGAACAACTGCACAAACCTAGCTCACAAGCAGGAACAACTGTAACCTTGGTAACCTTGGACAAGACAAAGATTTTCTGGACTCTACAATCAAGAATGTGATTCGCTGAGACCTGCTAGAGAGGAGTGTTCTGAGCACAGAGAAAAACCCATGGCATGTGTGAATGAGAGAGAGAGAATGCTGATAGCTGAAGGACCCTGGCCTCAATTCCTATCCCTACTGACCCCCTCCAAAATCCCCTCTCCATTTCCCTCAATTGTAATTAGACTGTATGTATATCCCTATTTGTAAATAAACCCAACGCTTATTTAAGATTCAGTTGTCCATTAGTAATTGAAGGCACCCCAAAGCTGAGCACATTCTACAGCAGCCCTTGAATATTCTTTTCTGACTCTTGACAGGTGCAACAGTGCCTCTCATTACTACTTCCTCAGTCCATCACTATTCAAATCAACTATTCTAAAGTCAATTGTAAAGCTTCCCTGAGCTTAGAGTGCAACCAAAGCCAAAAGTAATTTCTCTTTGTTTTGGATGAAGCCGGGAAGGCTTAGAACCGCTTTTATTTTTCTCATGTTGTCACACCCCTTTCTTATGCTACATCCTGCTTAACAACAGAGGATGGGTTCATTTAGTGGTCATTTTAGTGCAGAAAAGTAAAATGAAAGCCGACACTTAGGGAGTTGACTTGTAAAACATTTTCGCAATAACGGTTTATAAATCATTCCCTTAAAGTGTGTGCATCACAATGTTTCCTTTAAATTTTGAATAGTCCAGGCAAGAATAAGAGCCCCTGTCCAGTTTTATTGCCGTTTGTGTCCCGGATATGGAGATTCACCCTCTTCATTTTTCCTAGTGAGGATAGTCACAGAAAGTGGAAATCCAAAATTCCTTAGCTGTCAACAGAGTAAGCAGTGAGAGCAAATCTTTCAATGGGGATACATGTTCCAGTGACAACTGTCTTGGAAGGGAATTCCCCCGACACTAACCCTGAAAGTGCAAGGCAATCTTCTCCGCCCGACACAAACAGCAAAACATAAACTGACAGGGGTTTTACTCTTCCCTACCCTAGTTTTGGGTATAGCCAAAAATATTTATTCAGCTTTGTTTAAAATATAACCCAATTGTTTAATCCTGGAACAGGATTAGAAAATCTGTCAGGTGTGAGGTTTCATTTCCTGTACTGGTGTCAATCTTACGACCAAGACAGGAAGTGAGATAAAACTTCACACGAGAGCACAAACAGCAATAAAAAGGTGATGAAGTTCTACCCTCCACACTGTAAAAAATTGGAGATTTATCATCACTCCTACCCAGCACAGGAAATGATGGGAAATCACCCCGATGGGGCTACAGAAAGCAGCAAACCTGACAGAATTCTAACCCTTCTATCCAAAACATTAAAAACAAATTGCAATAAGAGTATAACATATAGTCTCTCCACTGACTTTAATACAGCTTAACTCTGGGTCTGTATAGAAAAACATTTAATAGATTTATGTAATCACTAAAAAAAAAAAATTTGAAGGCATTTTACTTACACAGCATACATTGTTGAATCTGTCTTGATATTTGCTTTCTTAAATCTCCTAGAGAGCAGGACTGAGACAGGGAGGGACATCACTTTTAACCAGAGTCCCACCGGGCCATCATTCTAATAGTTTAAACATTGTTCACTCATATGTAATTCTAGTATATATTTAGTCGTTTGCCAAGTTCAGAGGTAAGATTTTTCCATCCCCATCACTCCCCAGCATACTTTATTGTATGGTATGGCCTTGTTTCAGTACGTTTTCATGCCTGGAATGTAAAGCAAAGAAGCACAGCAGTAGGCTGAGGGATACTTATCAACGTACTGTATATTACTTATATATACTACAACTTATATTAAGCAGTAGTACTAGTGGTACAAGCTTTGACACTCATTACAGACAAAAGGGTACAGGTGTTTTTCACAGTATACGGTGAAGATGGAATGTTCTTATACTACAGATGCCATCAACTGGTATGAAAAAAAAACAACACATAAAGACTCTGAAGTAATACACTTACAGTAAACAATCGATTGTGTATATTTTATTTACACAGTGGAGAATGAACATGTTAGGCACAGTGTAACATTTCCTTGTAAAAGAATATAAATAGTACATAAAACTCTATATAAGTAAACATTATGAAATGTATGTAATACTTACAATAAACTTACTACTTTTTGGTCTATAGAAATAATTATTTGTTTTTAAATACTGCTTTCAAATATTATCTAGAAAACTAACTTTTATTCAGAAAACACTTGAGAAAATTGTTAGCAAATGTACAGGCGTACCATGTTAACAAACATGTAATACGAATCATATTAAAATACTGCCTTTACAATCCCCTTTCCACCCCTGAAAATAAAAAAAACAAAATAGCAGTTTGTTCAACTGCACTTGGCATCCACTGGAGCTGAGACCCGACAAGCTCAACATAAGTAAGCTACTAAAATGCAGCTCTTGTTCTGGAATTATTAACTGGAATATAAAAAGCCCCTAGCTGGGGGTTATGTCTCTGGAGAGCTTTGTAAGACACTAGGAGACTGATCCCTTGTGCTGCTCTTCTTCTTGCAGTTGCTTTAGAATATATAAGATGACTTGATAGCAGAAAATATATTGCTCCTGCAACAAAAATAAAAATACATTTAGTTGAAAGGACACGGATTTTGATTCGGTTTGCAGTTTAAGTCCATGAATATGAGGTTAGCAAAAGTAGCCCTTAAAGGAGAACTATGGGGTCCAAGCTTTTCTTTACTTTTGGATTCCATTTGGATTCCATTTTGCAATTTACTCCTATAATCCAAAATGCACCCTAAACATACAATCGTTACTTTAAGATGGTGGGGGGGGGCTAAGCACCGCAGTGGGGAGAGATCCCAAAAATACTGTCGGATCCTCCCAACTGATAGTTCTCACTGCGACTGACAGCGTTCCTTGAGAACTGCTGCGCGTCCACGAATACATGGGCACGCGCAGCAGCTCTCTTCCTACCTCCGTCCCTGTTGTCTGTGCCAGCAAATGACAGCGCGTGCATGGAAGGCCGTTTCTCCACACTGCTTCCGCCCCTCCATCCTCTCTCCGTCTTGAAAATGTGCAGCAGTTGTATGGAATACTGTTTCCCATAAATCTTAGTTCCCCCTGACCGTTCAGCTATTACCATAACCCCGCCCCTTCCTTACAGCTGCTCAGTATTTACATAGCCCCTCTGCAAGCTCCGGTGTTCTCAAAGAGACGAATGTCTCCTCTCAAATTGTGTGCTCTGATCGTTCAGCTCCCCCCTACAGGAAATCTCTGACTTGTCTCCCCGTCACATGTCACCGCTCTCAGTGTTGTGTTGCTGCGATCTGATATTTCCTGTCACATCCCCATCCTCACCCCCATGGATGGGGATGAGGAGCGCGGATGGGGATGAGGAGTGCGGATGGTGATGAGGAGTGCAGATGGGGATGAGGAGTGAGGTTGGGGATGTGACCGGAAATATCAGATCGCAGCAACACAACACTGAGAGCGGTGACATGGGACGGGGAGACAAGTTAGAGATTTCCTGTACAGTAAGTGGGAAGCTGAACGATCAGAGCACACAATGTGAGAGGAGACATTAGTCTCTTTCTCATAGAACACCGGGGCTGAGAGGGGGCGGGGCTATGTAAATACTAAGCAGCTGTAAGGAAGGGGCGGGGTTATGGTAAAAGCTGAACGGTCAGGGGGAACTAAGATTTATGGGGAACAGGTTTCCATACAACTGCTGCAAGCATCTGATTACTGAGAGAGAGCAGAAGATCGGTGAAGAGAGAGGGAAATACTGGTAAGAGAGAGGGGAAAGAGAAGGGAGACTGAGTCAGCTTGCTGCTTCTCAGTTAAGACTCTGCCTCCTGCTCCCACATGTCAGCGTGCACACTCCAGCCCTACACAGTGTGCTTGACTAGAGAAAGCGCGGCCGCGGCAGATAGTTAGAAAAAAAAAAAAAGCTGAGGGCGGGGCTGCATTCCCTGTTAACACCCCTTAAGAGGAAAGGAGCATGGCTGCAGGTGGCTGTTTTCTGTGACTTGTGATTCATTTATCTGGGATGTGCTGCGACTTTGGAAAAGAAGAAGAATGCTATTAGAGCAGGGCTCAAAATTTCCACTCACCCCCTCGCAAATTGCGAGTGAAAATTGCGTGGGGGCGAGTGGAAATGAAGCTATCGAGTCTGGCACTGTCATGGACAGAAGCAGCTGCTCGTCCAGCCATAGATCGGATCCTGCAGCTCCTCCTCAGAGCTGACTAGAGGAAGCGTCATAGTTGCTTGCATTGCACATGCTCAGTGCAAGTTTTCTTTCCCAGAGAGTGTCAGTGTTCCCTGGGCAACCCGGCCAGCCGTGTTTTAGTACCTGTTGATAAGATTTACTTGATTCAAAATATATATACCGTGCTGCAACAAAAAATACAAAAAAGTGTCCACAACCTAGTTGACAAGCTCCACACCCCTGGTGAAGTTTTGGTGATGTAGCACATATAGTGGAGCTTGCCAGAGACACTCTGATTGGTGAGAGTGCTGGTTGGTTGGTTACATCGGGAGCTGTCTTCATTTCCGGTTGTGTGGATGGTGGATCACTGTCAGGATTGGGTCAGAAAATAGGATTTTATATGCAAGTAGTTTTTTGTTCTTAAAAATATGGTTTTAAAACAGGACTACACCATGGGGGGAATTTATCAAAACTGGAGCAGACAAAATCTGTAACAGTTGCCCATGGCAACCAATCAGCTTCAGTTTGTTCAGTTAAGATTTAAAATGAAAGAGAAGCTGATTGGTTGCCAGGCACAGATTTTGTCTGCTCAAGTTTTGATAAATTCCCCTCAGTGTCTTCATCTTCTTTAATGAGCGTGGTATTACCAGAGCAGCTGAAAGTTATCTTCTACTAGTAAAGTGGACCATTGTGTGTGGGAAGGGACAAGTGCTAATACTAAAATATTTTGGTTCTGGTCCTGAGCAGAACTAAGTGTGGGTTTGGGAGCACGGCTTTGTACTGAACGTTGGTTTATCGATCACCTGGATGTGTGGAGTGAAACACTTGAACACACCTATGATAGTTGGATACTTCACAGTCTTATTATACCTTTCTACACGGGACTCGCCATATATCTTGTTGATGGACACTTTTTTGTATCTGTTGTTGTAGTATGGTGTATATTTGGAATCACTGTATTCTATAGCGCTAGACTAATATATAATTTTTTCACATTTAAGTGTCAGCAGCTAGTTAAATATTCACAATTAGATTAGTGTGGAAACTACAACAATAAGATTTCCTTGCTTCCAACTGTCATTGTGAGTAGGGAAATGTCTCCAATGTTTATAACCATCAGCAAGTAAAATTCTCTCCTGATAGAAGAAAACAACGTAACTTTGGTCAGAGATCTACTGTAATCTGACTTTTTCTACATTTGTCAACTTGTAGAGAACAGCAGTAGCCATCTTAGAACTATGAGAAACACATTTTAATGATTTAAAAACAATTGTATATATTGCACCAATTTGTTATACTGCTACAGAACTAAGGTTGGGAAAGGGGGGGCTTGCTAGAGAGCCAGCACTGTTATAGCTTGCCATATGTTAATTGATAAATCTTCAATACACCACCATCCTGATTACTTTCCAGAACCCTTGAAAATTATTTCTAAAACGTCAACAATGAGACGCTCCCAAGACAGCAGCAAGTTGAATCATAGACTGGCTTCCTATAGCTCTCAGGAACTCTTGAGACAGATCCACCAAAAAAGTACTGTCCCACCTGGCCACTTACCATTACAAAGAAAATGATGGTGTCACCTACTACCGATGGATCCCGTATCAATGTATAAGAAACAAATAAATGGGGACCCCATCTGGGATACAACCATACACCTTGGTTATGGTCTTATGGGAGAAGACAGACAGATATTGCTGTAGAGAAATATCCACACTAGACCCTCTGAGTGACATAAGAGCTGTGTGATCCAACCCACTGATTCTCAAAAGAAACTGAAATAGTCATTGCTGTTGGAATTGGCCTTTAACCAAAATCTTTTTTCTTTAAATGCTAATTACTCAGCAACATAAATGTGAAAGGTAAAAGTGATTCATTGTTTGACTTTGTGCTACAATACAGTTTATCTTCACAGGTGACAAATTTCACATGCCTCCAGGACAAGGCCCACCAATCCAAACATGTACAGTACGTGCACAAGCATAACTGAAGTCAAATATATTAGACCATGCTTGTTAATTTAGTACTATTCTTTACCTCTGTCTGAATCATCCCATGTCTCTGAAGCCTCATTGTTCGAGCCAGGTCTGAAATGCTGAACTAAAATAGAGATAAAAAAAATGATTTCCAAAATAAGAAAACACTTTGCATTATGGAAAACAAAAGGGAAATTAATGTAATGGTAAATCTATACAAATTTTTTTGAGTCAACAAAAAAATGTACAGAACACATCCCTTGTTTTTATTTTTTCACTTCTAATGGAAAGTCTATTGACATGAAACAATCGCTCTCTTATGTCCAGCTGAGTGAGTGTGAACTGCTATGGTAAATTAAAGTGACACAAAACTCTGGAGATAAACCTTAAAAATACATTGAAGCCCCTTAACTATTAACAAAAATGTATCTTATGTATGTATCACTCGGCTGTAGATCCTCAAATCATCTCTGAATTCATACTGACACTGTCCGTCCTTCTGGAGGGTGGCTACTTTTGTTCCCCATGGTCCCAGTGTGTGCTGTAAAGTAGCCACCACTCCAAGCTCACTCCTGTGATGAACTACAATCTCAGGTTTATGGGAGTGTGCTTGGAGTGGCGGCTACTTTATGAAGTACTGGAAAGTGCCACAGGCAGAACTCAGTGAACATCTCTGTTTATGTGGGCATACTCCTGAGGAAGTCTTGGGGGCTTAGGATCACATCAAAGGCTAGGTCACAACCCTGGTCCTGTGAAGTGCTCTGTGTCTTAACAAACCCGAACATTAGGTGTTTGAGCCCAGTGCCCGAGGGTCACATTACAGGCAGGCACCACATCTTTATCATGGTAGGGTCTGGTTATGGTGCTGAGGCCCAGCCAACCCAGATAGCTGCAACATGAGCTCAGTTATGCAGCATAACGTATGATCTTGATTGGACAGAAAAAAAAACATTCTTCATAAAAATGAAAGGAGGTCTGCTTAGGTGTAATAAGCTAGGGGCTGTTTAAATGATCTTGTATACACTCTAAATTACAATACAATGTGTGGCTGGAGTGACCCCTTAACCACTTGCTGATCAGGTGTTCACACGCCCTTCCTGGCCAGGCCATTTTTCAGTATTCAGCGCTGCGGTACTTTGATTGACGTTTATTCCGTCATGCAACGCTGTACTGAAATTAATTTTATACCATTTTTTGGGGACAGATAGAGCTTTTTTGGGGGGCGCTCCGATCGGCACCCCATACAAGCGATCCGATGGCTATATAGCTGGCGGATCACTCGTATGTAAACAGGCATCGCTGCCTGTTTTTACATTGTGGTCATTTCCCACGCGAGTGGGCGGGGCTAACAGGCCATATATACACGGCCTGTTACATCCAGGAAGCTCCCGGGGAGGCGGTTGAAGACATGACACTTCCCTTGATTCCAAACAAGGTATTCATTTTGATGTCAATACTCCAGATGTTAGAGCCTCTTGTTTGTATCAATTAATATTCCAAAGTTCCATTCCACTTATATTACCTAGCATGTGATATAAAGGTTATTTTTACTCACCTCTAAATCCCTACTGATGAGACCCAGCATGACATCTATACATATGAGTGTGCCTGATCGGCCAATGCCTGCACTGCAGTGAGTGATGATGGGGCCGCTCCGGTAGATGTGTCTCATGTAGGAGATGAAAGCGAGAAGTTGGTTTGGGTTAGTAGGTGTGTCATGGTCAGGCCATGCAGTAAAGTTCAGGTGCGCTATGTGTCGTATCTCTCCAGTCTGTAGCGAGAAAATAATAAGATCCACCATGAATACAAAATGACAGGTTAATAAAGAATATTATTCAAAGAACTATTCATTCTTATCGAACGTCATAGTCTGAGCTTTAGTAGAAGCTTAAAGCCGAATTTCAGACTCACACAATCATCTCTTTATAGCAACTGTTTGTTTTCTTTCTTGAAAATGACATAAAATACCTTTTCTTTTTGCTCATGTTAATATGACTAGTACATATGAATATTTTGTGAACCTTCTGAGGGAGCAGGGGGAGCTTTAGGGTCATTTTACATGGTATTTAACCCTCTGTTGGAAAAAAGCTTTGAGAACAGTAGTTCAAGATGAAATTTTACACAAGACTGAATAAGTCAGAGAAATCGTTTCATTTGCAATGATAATCCCATGTTTCAATCTCAAGCTCCAATGATTTGCCAGTCTGTCTAAAAGGAGATGATCATTGCTGTGCTATTTCTTCACCAGTCATACTTTGGGAATCCTTTGTCATGAATTAAATGTTTATTTGTAAAAATAAATAAACATTAATTCAAAAATAAAAAGATTGTATACAAATATTAAAACAAAAATAAAACATCTGTTTACAAATAAAAATAGCTAAAATAAAAACAGACCTAAACTATTATGGTTTCCCTCCAAAACACTGCTATGGTGAAGATCTAATAGTCCAATCCAGGTTTTTGGCACTGTCAAAATGTGAAATACAGGTTGGGTGCTCACCCAAAATGCATGGGTATGCATGGGTAAGTACCCCAAGTTGAAATGCCCCTTCTTGGTAAATCCAGAAGAAGGAGGTAATAGACACCACCACTATGTCTGCTAAAATATATAAATGTAATAGCCTGAACTTCCATATCTTAGCAAGATAACTAACCTGAATATCCTGTAACCCCAGGATTCGCAGCACAAAACATTCCAGCGGTTGTGTACTCAATAAAGTCAGTTGGAGTCCATTATTGATACATAATGGCCTGTTGGGCTCATCGGGCCAATACCTTTGACATTTTATCTTCCCTCCTTCCACTTCCTGGGTCATCATGGCAATTACAGTGGAATTCTGTTCCCATACCATTTGCCAAAAATCTGGTACTGTACTAGGGAGAGGTCCTTGGCATGCAATGTAAGTGAATTCTTCACTGCCAACAGGCATCTTGATAAAACTTGCATTAATATAACCATCCTTTGGTCCAAGAGGCACTCTGGTGGTATCATCTAGAATAGCATACAGCAAAAGTATAAAGATATAGCTACTAAAAGAAGATTTTTGTACCCTCTATGGTATTAGTTTTTGATGTTCAGTAAGGGACACAAAATCAGTAGAAACTATGATAATTTGGTTATACTGCACCCTTCAGGTGGAATTGGACACTTGCAAAAAAAGAAAAAAAAAAAGAAATTGGCCACCAAAGCATAACCCCCCCTTCTACTACCATGATGCTTCCCGTGTCCCTTAATGAAGTTGAAGAAATGGATTTTACATTGAACATAAAACTCTGGTTTTCTTTATTGTTCATTATGGGACACAGGATCAGCAGAAGTCTGAGAGAGGGGGAGAGAGAGAGGGGGAGAGAGAGAGGGGCAGAGAGAGATCATTTTTTTTGACAGAGATAGGTATGAAACAACCAAAATAATTTTAACCAGTTGACATCCGCGGTGTTAAACCCCCTTCCCAATTAGTGAAAGAGGGATAGATTACATAGACTGAATAGACAGATAGATCAGTGATCAATTTAAAGTAACACTATACTCAGGGGTTAACTCTTAAAAATACATTCAAGTTCCCTAACTATTAATAAAAATGTAGCTTATTCGTGTATCACTCGGCTGTAGATCCTCAAATCATCTCTGAATTGGTGCCGACACTGTCCTTCCTTCTGGAGGGTGGCTACTTGTGTTCCCCATGGTCCTTATGTGTGTTGTAAAGTAGTCACCGCTCCAAGCTCGCTCCTGTAATGGACCTAAACCTCACATTTAGTTTACTAAACTGTATTGAAGTTATAGCCTATCATGGCAGCAAGCTTGGAGTGGTGGCTACTTTACAACACACACAGGGACCATGGGGAACACAAGTAGCCACCCTCCAGAAGGAAGGACAGCGTCAGCATGAATTCAGAGATGATTTGAGGATCTACAGCTGAGTGATACACAAATAAAATACATTTTTGTTACAGTTAAGGTACTTGAATGCATGTTTAAGGATTACTGTAACCCCTGAGTTAATTGTCACTTTAAAGGAATGATCAGCATATAGTCGAACAATCAAACACATTTATATGGTGAAACCATCCATCTGTCTTTCAGCAAGTTAAATCAGCTAGAGAACTAAAAGGCAAGACTTTGCGGCCATCCAATAGTGACTACGGCCTCTTTGCTGGTATATCTATTTATAGGCCCCTTTCCTGTCTGAATAAACTATATATACTATTATATTCATTCTAACACAACTGTTGTACTTTATTAGTAGTTAGATTAATATAATGAAAAAGTACATATGATGAAAACTGCTAAGGCTGAAAAGATTCAATGGGACCTACATGGTAGTATGTTCTTGTATCTGTTTTTCTTTTTGTTATCTTTACTTTGCCCAATAAGGCATTCGTCAAGTGGTTTTAAATCCTGAAGGCTCTGTAAAGATAGAATCCAATTATCCAGAATTGACAGTAAAAAATACATTTGCAACATTTAAACCAGACCAAGCACTATAGTTATATTTAGATATAACAAAATATGCTAGGAATGCAGGGTGACAAAGACAACAGTTTGCTAAGTTTGTTTGATTCGTATATTTAGTTTGTTTCGTTTCACATATAAAAGATACTTAATTTCACTTTAAATATGTAAAAAATACAAAAATATAAAAATTCAGAGCCTCCCATAATGACCCTCTTCTTAAAGTGAACATGTACTCAGACTATTTACATATTCTGAACAATTAGTAAAAACTAGAGGTGCACTGAAATGGAATTTTCTGACCTAAACTGAAAATAAAAAAATTGGTCAGGCTGAAACTTATTTTTTTCCCTAACCTTTTAAATGTTTATTTCTTTCTAAACTTTCTAAAATTATTTTTTTAAATATCTTATTTTTACAGTAGTCAAGCTGTCAAAGGAGACCAAGCTTTACTCCCGCACTGCCGGCTCAGCCTCCTGTGACAGCGAGTCAGGAAGGAGAGCGGGTACGAGCTGATTGCTTGTAACTAATTGAGGACATAGTATGTTTACTGTGTCCCCAACTATGAATGAACAGAAAGTGTTCTGCATCACTTCCTGTTCATGGAACAGGAAGTGATGCTTTTGTGGACATGGTAAACATACTCAACCTCCTGTGACAGCTCACATCTGTCTCCTCCCCCACACCGCTCTCCATCTTGATCTGTCACGGGAGGCCGAGCGGGGCAGTGCGGGAGGAAAGCTTGGCCTCCAGTGACACGCAGCCCCCAGCGCTCTCTTCCCCGCCTCGCTCGGCTTCCTGACAGTTTCTCTCCTCCCTGCTGCTCAGTGGGGTCAGTGGAGACACATAGCAGCGCCAAGCAAGGAGAGAAATCACGGATGCACCGGAATTTCGGCCAAAAGATGGTACTTTGGCATTTTGCCCAAAGTACCATTTTCGTCCGATATGTTTCGGTGCATCCTTAGTAAAAACACTTTACAACAAACCCTCATTCACCTCTGTAGCTATAGGTAGAAATCCCTCTTTGAAGTTCCCAACAGAGGCACAGAAATCTCAGCTGTTTCCCATGGAGAGAAGATCTTGGTAGCCTGTAAGCAAACACACAGCAGGTGTTTTCTATGCTGAAAAAAACCATCTGAAGCAGACTCATTCACAATGAGTCTCCAGTAAAAAACAGTGAGGGGGATTTATTTTAACTGGAGCAGACAAAATCTGGAGCAGCTGGGCAGGGCAACCAATCAGCTTCTCTCTTTCATTTTCAAATGTTAACTGAACAAACTATGAGAGAAGCTGATTGGTTGCCTGGGGCAACTGCTCGAGATTTTGTCTGCTCCAGTTTACAACAATTTCCCTCAGTGTTTTACCATACACCTAGTGTCTGCGGTCAATGCAAGGCACTGTTTACTTTTTTTTTTAGAACTTTATTGGCAGTGTATAAAGTGTGCACTCCATTTAAAGCCTCTGCACAGAAGCGCAGTATGCTGCATTGCGGTGCCCTCTTGTGACATCGGGTGCACTGAACAAAAATGCATCTGCATTTTTCTTCACCACACATCAGACCAGCGTTGTGTTAATAGGAAACTTAAAAACCAATGGATTTATATGTGTCCCTGCGGTGACCTGCTGCAGAAAAACACAGGTCACCGCTGTATCTTTCAACAGGCAGTTAAGAGTCCTTCTTATGAGATTTGAGAGTTAATTACTTCACAGTACAAGCGGCTGGAGAGGTAAGGCATGGCTCGTTTTAAAGCTCCTTTACTACTTGTTAAGTATATGTAAACACACTGGGGTCTATTTTAACAAAAACTGCATAGCTTATTCGTCAGCAAAAGTGCATGAACATTCGTTCTGTGTGAATCAACCAACTATTGAGAGAAGGCGCAAAAACAGGTGCGTAGTGTAATTTCTCTTTTGGTTGAATGTCCTACAATAGGTATATTCATAAAGAACAGAGTAAATTGGAAAACACTACATTATGGGCACTAGAAGGTGCTGTGGATCATATGAAAAAATCCATGTTAGTAATGCAGGGATGGACAAATGAATATGAAATACAGGAGCCAGTAGGACATTTTTAGGATCAAGCACCTTTAATAACGGAAAGAAAAAAAAAAAACAAGTTTTGCCAGCTATAAATTTTAAGAAGCATTGGCTAGCGGGCTCCTGGGATTTATCCAGACTTGTAGTAACGAGATGCAATTCAAGAGAAAGCTGGAGAGAATGAGCATAAAATGTAACCACTGCTATTGCCGTAGTATCAATGATGATATTTATATGGTCATTCTTCATTCATCTTTTGAAATGTAACACTATATAACCTTACTAACATTCATACGAAACATTTGATCAGAAGAAAAAAAAAAACATTGGTTCTTGACCCACAACTGGTAAACTCGTACAGAACTAATTTACATGCAGTTTTTCTGGATGAATGACAATTTTGTTTAAAGAAGAACTCCAGGATAAAAAAAACGTATTTGCAGTGGAGCTGACACCCCCTTGCAAGGGTTAAGTGGTTGGTTTGTCTAGAGCGCTAAAATAGAGCTGCATTACTCACCGGATCCTTGCTCCCATGGTGGTTGGCACTCACCATGCCGTTTCAGCATACCGCCTCCGCTCCAGCTATGGAACGTCTCTCAATGGACCTGCATAAGACGTGATGACGTCAGCAGTCCTAAGACCGCCGGAGCGCGGGGAAGAAGAGGCTGCAGGGACGAGTCTAGCAGCCTGGAGAGAGCCAGCAGGACCGAGGACTAGGCAAGTAAACCGGCTTCAATTGAGTCCCCTAGACAAGGCGAGAACTTAATCCTTGCAGTGTGGGGGTAGTTCCACTGCAAGGGTAAGTTTTTGAATTTTCTCAAAGTTCTTTAAATAGACCCCTTAAACTTCAGAGTTGCCTGAGCAAAGACCTATATGAGTATCCGTTTTCAGGCTCCTGTACCTGTAATCTCTATTCCAGTTTTGATACCCATCTACGACCTTTCCCGACTATCCTCGTTATGCACCTGCCCTGACCTTTTGTCTGTTTAACCATGACCTTAAATGGTCTTACCTCAAACTCCTTTGCAGGGGCACTTTGATCAAGCATGCTTCTTATCTGTCGTATAACCGTCTTTAATCTATTTCCTGAATATTGGCCTGATGGCTGAACTTGAACAAGGGGGAGATCGGAGAGCTTCTCATTTGTTATTTGGAAGGAATCTTGAGGGGAAATAATTAAAAAAAAAATTCTTAATGTTCATTTTTTTACATTTAAACAATGTAGATGCCACTTTTCACAAAGCATGCACTGTTTTTGCTAAGCCACAGAAGTATTGACACATCCGTAATGCACCCCAAAATGAAAAGGTCCTGGCTGACATTTATTCTATACCTTCCAGAAAACTCCAAATGCCAATTTCTCCATTTAGTTTTAGCATTTGTACTATAATCAATAATGCAAAAAAAGACAGACTTTATTAAAGGTATTGAAACAAAGATGAACAAACAAAGGTGTGATTTGATCTGACAGTATTGTCTGTATAATTCTATGTGTGAAGTTAAGGAGTGAAAAAAGGTCCAAAGAAAAAAAAACAAAAACCCAAAACAAAAGCACTGGCTTTTCTACATAGCTTTATATTGCATACAGGTGAAACTCGAATAATTAGAATATCGTGCAAAGTTCATTTATTTCACTAATGCAACTTAAAAGGTGAAACAAATATATGATATAGACTCATTACATGCAAAGCAAGATAATTCAAGCCGTGATTTGTCATAATTGTGATGATTATGGCTTACAGCTCATGAAAACCCCAAGAACCCCAAATCCACAACCTCAAAAAAGTAGATTATTACATGCAATCAATAAAACAAGGATTGTACATAGAACAATATCGGACCTCTGAAAAGTACAAGCATGCATATGTACTCAGTACTTGGTTTGGGCCCCTTTTGCAGCACTTACTGCAATTACTTTTGCACAATATTCTAATTATTCAAGTTTCACCTGTATGGTGAAGTGCAAGTTAACTCTGAACATGTTGCATTCTAAAGTAGTTCAATCAAAAATGCCTGGTTTCTGTGTGCCTTACTTTCCTCTATACCCTTCCAGGGGCTTCACGAGGCCGGCTGTCACCCGGAACGGAGACCGGTTGACACCCCGCAGCAACGTCATCGCGCATGCGCGGTTATCTAATTGATGCCTGCCAGCGGCCATCTTGGTGATAGACCCCGGCCGAGAGAGCAGGGGACGTTCACTTGGCCGCCGGGTCCCCTCCTCTCTCCTGACACTGTGGGGCTTTCGGTCCATGACCGAGTGCCCGACTTTTTAGAGGGGGTGACACCAAAATCAAGTCATTTTGGTGTCACCCTGGTGCGGGCCGCACCCCCCTTGCCACTGTACCGTTCTACCCATTTTCTCCCTGGAAAGCTGTGCAAACATGAAAAAAAAAAAGGGCAAATAACTGCATGCTTATAAATAGGCCTTACACTGTATGCCCAGTAAAAAAAAGATGTTTTTGTAGTGTAAGGAAGGTTAGAACCCCTGTCAAATGTCTGCTTTCTTGTTGCAGATTTTCTATGGCTTTCTATTCCCGTTGTCACGGAGACAGAATCTCTGGAAAAATTTCTCTAACGGAGCCCCAGATAGCAATAAATGTTTTTGACTTGACATACACACATATTTTAGGATATTATTTTATTGCCTTTTACCATACACACCTACAGGAAAAAACATTACCCTGTCCAAGATTAGTCATTTTGCATAAAACAGATAAAAAAAATTAATTACCAAACAGATCTTTAGATATTGACTGTACAGTTTTGTCATTGCCTGCAACTTCAGTTTCTTGTGGGCCAGTGGCAAGTCGCCTTTGCAGTCTAGAAGAAAAAGTAATCAGTACTCTGATGTTCTTAGCAAGAAAAGTCTTGGTTATGATAATCATGCAAGACAATTTTAATACAAGAGGTTGAAATGTTTTATTTCTATCCATCATTAAAAGGAAAAAAATATTTTTTAATGCGGCTACATACCTCTCATTCCTGTTGTTGCAGGGACCCACACCATTTAATTTACCTGGCTGTAAGCAAGAAAAGCACACTTGTTATTAATCTTTTATAGGAAAATTCAAAATGGAAATATGTTTAAATGTCACTAGTATCTAAAAACTAAAGAAATGTGTAGCCATCTTTTTTCCTATGAAAGGAATGCAGGCTACATTTACTGTGATACATTGGTTTACATCATATAACATGTCTTATGCCAATGTCAACCAAACTAACTCTGACCATCAATATTCATTTCCTAGTCACCTTTACGTAAAGAAGAACTACAATCTTTGCTCCAATTTTACTTTTTCTGTATATACGCTTTGTGCCAAAATAAACTAATGCCACGTCACCAACAGCAATTGTGTGACAGCTATTTTTGCTGCCAATATAATTGATCTCAAATACTACACTCCTTTTATCATGATTTGATTGCAAAGTGGTATTTATGTGATTATTATGTAAGTGTTAGTACACTACATTGGGGAATGCTTATAAAGAGTGACCATTCCAGATGTATTCCTTAACCATGCATGCATTTCAGTGCACATGAACCAGTAAGACAAAACTGAAGCCACAATGGGGGTAATTTATGAAAACTGGAGCAGCCAGAATCTGGTGCAGTTGTCCATAGTAACCAATCAGCTTCTCCTTTCAGTTAAGCTTTTCAAATAAAAGATAGAAGCGGTCTGGTAACTATGGACAACTGTTCCAGATTCTGTCTGCTCCAGTTTTTATAGATTTCCCTCACTGTATTTGCAATTCTTACCTCGGGAGAGTCATCAGGTAATGATGAACCATCACAGTCTGTGTCTTCGGCTTTCTCATCCATGTCTTCTTCATTCAGGTCCTCTGTATAACAAACATCAGTAAAATGTATAAGAATGCAACATGCACCTTTAAAAGCACATGGTCTTTGTAGATCGTGAAACTCGCCGTCAATGACCTTTTTGTTAGCCCCTGATAAATGCCCCATCATTTCTAACCCCGCCTGCTTTTTCTCTACATTCTAATTAAATTAAATCTTTAGAACAGAATTATATGCATTTTGACACATTTTTGTATGATCTCTTCTCTAGTACATCATTACTGTTACTATATAACATGTATTGGTTATTACTAATAAATCTGAATATGAATTTCTAACTTCTAAAAAGATGTATGAAACAGAAAAGGCACAGGGTCCAGAAAGATTCTGAAACAAGGCGGACTGAATGTCACATGGCCCGAACGAAAAAATGGAATTAGAAAAAATCTGCCTTGTTTATTACCAAAGAAGAATTTGCAGGAAATACAGGTTTTTAGAAACTTAAAACATTAAGTCAAACAATTACACTACTCTTAGGCTCTATTTGCACCTAGGTGACTGTGTTTTTGCGCTAAACCCGCATGCATTAAGATGCACATTTGTGCGAGCAGATTGTGGCCCATTGATGTAAATGGCCAAACGGGCGCAAAAAAAAAATAGCATCACGCGTTTCCAAGCGTTTCCTATTGAGTCTATGCGGACAAAACGTGCGGTAATCTGTCAATAAGCAACTCATGTACTTTTTCCAGCAACAGACGTTTTGCTTTTTGTGACAAAATGCTCAGGTGTGAACAGGGGCAATAAGAATGAACAGATTTTTTTTGTGAAGCATTTTGCTGCTCTTATTCAGCTCCGACAAAACGCTAGGTGTGAACCAGGCCTTAGATGTGGTGATCTCCTGCTGCTGGCCATGTGCAGACAGCTCCCTGCAGCTTACCATTCCAAATGGGCCATGTTCAGCTTTCTAATTACAAACAATTTTTGTGCGCATATGTTGTTTAAACTGATTGATTTTAATAATGACTTCTTATGTTACACCATGCTGGTGTGCCCTCCATGCTTAAAACTTCACAATGTTGAGGTTCTCCTGACTCTGTCTGGGCTGCAAGACTAACCACAGAAATACCATATACCGTTTCATCAGGTAATCATAACTCCCTGCGGCTAGCTCTGCCTAATGTTCTTGTTTTTATTTTTTTTGTTTATTTAATTGATTTTGACTCTTGGCTTTTTTGGCTTCTTGCTTGCGTTCATCTATATTTAATTTGCATTAGATTTTTTTTTTGTTGACTTAGCATTTTAATAAATAGTTTATGGAGCAGCTTTTTGTTTTCAGCCCTTGGTTTTGCAGGCATGATCTGAGGTTTATACAATTGAGTGGGTGTAGTATATGTATATACAACATGGAGCAGTGAGTGGATACCTCCAGCTTACCTCAGGGGACAATATTAGTAATCAACCCAGGAACATCCAACCTAGTTGATTAATTCTGCAAAAAAATGGTTGGTATGGGGAATTTCTGAAGAAGAGTTCATGTTATAGTTGTCTGATCTGAGATCTTGTCATGTCTGTAGATCCTTTTAGAGTACACAGGATAACTCAATATATTTTCTCTTTCTAATCACAAGCTAAGACTTCGTACCTAAGAAGTGTTCCTCTGAAAGTGCATTCTGACGATTTAGCTGTAAAAGGTTCTGGGTTTGTTCATGGACAACATCAAGCAGAGCCTGAATGACATCATTCTGATCTTCTTCATCATCCTCATAGTTCTGGTTGTCCTTTACATAGATCTCAGGATCTAAAAAATATAAAATATTATCAGCCAAGCTTCTCTCCTTCATATTAAGTAATAAACGTAAATATTCCTGTGCAGTATGACTTCATCCCATATCATGGGTGTATACAGTAGGAGAGAAATGGGGGGCATTGAATCCTTTACAATGTACAATATCTGCTTTATTTAATAAGGGCAGTAAAATACCGGTCATTTAGTGAGCTATCCCTTCAATTTCAGCTGGCACTAGTGTTTAATATTCCTAGCTTTCTGCTGTGGCAAAGAGCAGGTACCACGTAAGAATTAGAAGTACTAATAAGTAGAAGAGTAACCTGCCCTTAGCCATAGTTGCAAGAGAAAAATACTAGGGACATGTGCATCAACTGGAGACCTTACCATATGACATGTACTTTACTGCCTTCGTTGAGTTTTTTTGTGGCACTGAGCAGGAGGGCCTAAAGTCAGTTTTTGGCTTTAGGTGTACTTTAATTGCCCTATCTGTAAAAAAAATAAGTCAAGGCAACTGGACTTGCTGTATTTTTCTTGAAGACGTTTCATTGGACATCCGACCAGCTTTCTCAATTCAGAATGAAATTCCAGTGAAACGTTTTCAAGAAAAATACAGCAAGTCCAGTTGCCTTGACTTATTTTTTACAGATATACCATGGCCTGGATGAATGAGAACCTTCACACACATATTTAACTTTCCTAAGCACATAAAAATTAATTCATGTGTTTTATCCAAATGGAATATTAAAGACCCAGTTACATTTGGGCAGTGCATTATTGCACATGCAGTAATGTACATTGTGCCACAAGTTAATGTGCGTTGCATTAAGACAGCCTATTGAACTCAATGTGCATTGCCTTAATGCGAAGGGGTACTATTCAAAAGAAATGCCACTGCAGTGCATCAACACGTGTGTCGTGGTAATGCATTTGTTAACGTGTGTGTTCATGCAAAGCATAGATGTAATTTGGCCCTTTAGAGTAATGCAATAACTGTATACAGCGCCAGCACCCACTTGTAGATAAAATGCCCATGACACAGCGCAAATGGTGCCATCTGCTCCACTTCACTAACAGTAGAATCACAGAGCTTCAGCTGCCATTTATCTAATGGAAGTAGCTCCCATTCTATCTAAAATGCTGCAGAATCCTATTTTCTAGGGAGAAGCAATGATGAGGTGATATCTCATTTTCTTGGCCAGTGAGGTAGTGAAGTCATACGAGAAGGTGAGTGTAGCTGGAGAAATGAGGTCCCAGGATGAAGTGACAGCATCAAGAAGCTTATTGCTGTTATAGTGCTCTCTAGTGGTGGTTTCCTAATTTGCTGGATGCATTAGGACAATCTGATGAATATAATCTTTTGGCAGACAATTTAGTATAATGTTTTTGGAAAAGAAAATTGTCATATTCCTGATGAGGTCTTCCAATATGTAGGATAAGGATACAGAATACAGAGATTTTTTTTTCTCATAGAGGCATACAGAGTTACATGTGCTATTCTGCCAGATGCAGGATAACATTTTCGTGCGCAATGCTCAGTTGTGTTTTAATGGATCCAGAATGAGGTTAAAAGCAGATGCAGGATAAAGGATTGCATGATGTCCTAAAATGGACACAACAGTAGAAGCCATAACTGGATATTTAGCTCAACTGCCTTTCAGGACAAGCAGGAATAAACTAACCTAACAAGTTGCCTTTGAAAACTATTTTAAAATGTTGGCAGCTATACTTTACACTTTAAAACTTGGTATGTTAAGCCAGGTAACACAAGAAGGATAAAATATGTTTTGTTATGTTATGTTTATATCACTGTAGTTACATTTTTGTTACGTCTTTTTTTCAGTAACAATGTTATTTGAGGATACAATTAATATTTTCCAATTTGCAATAAGAAACTCATTAAAAGTGTATTTCCATTTGTACAGTCAAGTTTGGAAAAAACCCTCTAAAAGTTTGTTATGTGTTCCTATTTACACAGCATACCTAAAAAAATAAAAATCTTACCTTTTAGTTGTCTCTGTTGAGCAAGCGTTTGGACAGCCCGCAAGCTTCTCTGAGCATTTTCAAAGTGACAGAAGCCTGTCTGTCCCCATAGAAAGACTAGAGACACTCTGAATTTCCCCTCATTAAAATACAATATTTTTTAGGCCTTAACCCTTTGTTAGGACAGCGTTTAAATCTAGTTTACAACTGATAATGTGATCTGCCAGGAAAGTACAGACAGGGTTAATTATGGTAACCCCCCAGCCCCCTTGCATCCCAAAGAAAAACTCATTTGACAGGAAACTAGTAATATGAGAAAACAAGCAATGCATAAGTTATGCTATGTAATTGGGAACATGCAACAAATATAAAGCAGGTGTTATCCCAATTTGTCTGCAAAAGTGGAAATACACTAAGATTTAGAGTAAACATTTGAAAAACCTAGATATTTGTAGTAAGGAAATGCTATATTTACACTCTAAATTGAATGCATACACAAAAAAAGCATTACAAACACATTCACTTACCAAGGTTTCCATTACACTTGTCAAAATCAGATGTGTCCTTTGGAATAAGCTCACGGGCGACTTCAATCTCAAGCAGTCCCTTGGCGTTTCGAAGACAGGACACTGCTTTACTATGTGTAGCACCCTGCATATTCTCCCCATTTACCTGTGGAGGAAACAAGTAAATTAATATACAGGAATCTACGGCTCAATCCTACCAACTGATGTGCCAGTAGGGACTATACAAAAAATCCCCAGCACTCAAGCCTGCGTGCCAACAATGAAAGCCTAAGTCCTTGTTCACACCAAATGCAGACCAGATCCGGTCAGGTTTCTGCATACGCAGTGTAGTGGGTTGTGCCGCGTTTTGGGCCGGTTTTGGTAAAAAAAAAAAAATATGTTTTTTTTTTAAGTTTAACATGAACTTTCAGGCACTTGCATGCGTTTTTGATGCGTTCCAGACCAGATCCAGAGCAGGTAAAATAGGGCTTGCCGCATTTTTTTCATCCGGTCTGGATCTGGTCTGGATCCGCACGCTGCGATGTGAACTGGAGGTCAAAATACCATAGGAATACATTGGACGCAGTTTTGATCCGGTCTGCACCTGCTCTGGTCCGGATCTGCTCCGCGCTTGGTGTGAACAAGGCCTTATTGAAAGTAAACCTTTAGAAGAGCAAAATATAGGGTCATCTATTTCTGTGACCTTCTCAAAATTCTAGTTTAGTGGCTGTGCTGACTTCAATACCTCTGAGTCCCTGACCTAAACAAGCAAACAACAAAGGAAAATCAGAGAAAAGGCAGAATTTGTGATCTCCATATTTGTTCCAGGTACAGAAGATCCAAGCATTGGAATGGCTGCCAAGATTATAATCTAATCTAAAAGTGTGTCAACAATACACATTGTAGTAAACAGATTTTAATCAGGTTCCCTTCTTTGGCTAGCAGGTGAATTTTTCCTACTATTTCACTGTTGTGAACTGCAAAAAACAGGGGTTTTATCTTACCTGTGAAATCCTTTTCTTAGAGGACTAAGGATGGTAACATGAGACCATTGGTTATGTTGTTGCCTTCAGGTGACTGGACACTGGCGAAACAAAGCTATATGGGCAGTCCTATATAACCCCTCCCACTTCCAGGAAGCCTATTTTTTTTTTTTTAGCAAGTAAAAATCACAGTGGCATCAGATGATGCCTAAACGTCCACCTGGTAAAACTTGACAAACATTTGAACAGTAGACCACGGGACAGCCTTTTAAATCTGAGAAACAGATGCCTGATGCTGAAAAGTCCATGAAGCACTGACTAATTAGGTAAAGTGCACTTTAACAGGGTAAGGGGGAAATTAAACCTTTGGACTATAGGCTAGAATGAGGAGTTGCCGAAGCCACCTGGAAGTAGTGTAACAAGAGGCAGAGTGGCCCCTACAAGGACCTTCAGGAATAACTGAGTGAATCTGACTGTCTGAAAGAGTACATAGACTCAAACTGCGTGTTTCAAGTCCAGTCGAGAGAAATCGCCCTAAAATTTATTGAGAAATCTTGAGAAAAAAAAAAGAAGAGAAAATTAAAAATACAAAGTACTTTGCTTCTCTCGGCGCAGAGAGAAGATGTCGGTTTACCTAAGGGCACTTAGCAAAAAACAGAGGCTTGCTGGAAGTGGGACAGGTTATATAGGGCTGTGCTTACAGCTTTGTTTTTGCAGTGTCCAATCACTTGATGGTAGCTGCATAACCCATGGTCATAGATTACCACCCTTATAGTAAGCGGTTAAGAAAACATGCACTTTCATTTACAATTCTATAAACGGACTGTGATTGTCGATATGCACTCATTTTCAAAACACCTCCAGCATGGTAAAACAAAGCCTAAATGCAGCATGATTTTCAAGCACTGCTGCATGCAAGTAGCAGTGACCCAGCTGGTTTTACATTTCCTGCTTTCATTTTCATGCATCACAAAGAACACTGGCAGAACACAGTATAGAACACATTAAAGCGACATTAAACCCTCAGATTTTTTTAACATAAAACAATACTGTAATGTGTGCCTTACTGTAATCCATGGTAGTTTCCCTTCTCTTTGCTGCTCTTCCTTTTAAATCCTCATGTCTTCTCATGCTGGGAAGAACTTCTGTTTTGCAGCAGACTGCCTTGTCTCTGAAATGGATACATGGTGTCTGTGTGAAGGTTCACAACCTGAGCCAGCACTACAGGAAGAGGCACTCAGCTGCAAAGGGAAGTTCTCCCCCAGCATGAGAAGAGATACAGATTTAAAAGGAAGAGCAGCAAAGAGAAGGGAAACTACCATGGATTTCAGTAAGGCACACATTACAGTATTGGTTTATGTTAAAAAAACCAGAGGGTTTAATGTCACTTTAACTTATCATAAAAGTTGCCACACTATACTATTTCTATTGTAACAAAATATTTGGATAGAAAAACACAGAAATCATTATTTTAAAGAAGATCATAGACACGTAAAAAGAAACAATGCAAAAGGAAGTTAATTAATAATATCTACAAAAAGTATATTTCTGTGCTAAGCTGGCTACTAATGGATGCCAAGACTTTGCAAGATACGGTAATAATAAAATAAAACCAAAAAACTTAAGAGCCAAGTCACATTTAGAAAATGGAAAACATTTACTGTACATGTTAATGTATAATTTATGTACATGTTAATGTATAATTTATTAAACAGAGGTATTGAACAAATGTCTTTCAATGCAAGGATGCACAGCAACATAATGCCAATATGAAGCTTCGCTTGCCAAAGACAATTGACATGAAGCACTCAAGTTAAACCTCTCTTGGTTTTGTAAGGTGAGGCAGGACTGGTCCCAGCATTTTGAAAGGAACAGCAATATATATGAACTGCATTGGCCACTGTAAGTGGGAAGAGTGGACACACACTGCATATTAAGGTGCTGCAAATAGTAAACTTCTTAATGCTTGAAAACTGGGAGAAAAGGTGGGGCAGGGGGAGTTTTCCTACACACTGGAAGGTTTACCAGGCTGAAAAGAGCCCAACAATATGAATTTATTCTAAATGGTTGCTGTAGGCCATCTGAAATTTATAGCAAAAGTAGGGTCTTCAGAAGTACTACATCTAAAAGAGATAAAAATTGAAAAACAAACAGACTTAAAGAAAGGTTACCTGAAGCAATCTGTCTCCAACCTGTAAGTTCCCCTCTATGTCAGCTACACCCCCAGGACTGATGGATTTCACAAATATACCATATTCGCCTCCTACCAGGGAAAATCCTAATTCTCCAGAGGCAGGCTTTTCCAAAACAACATGAACTATGCCAGCCTTTAGGGCACAAAGAAAAATAAGCAGATTTAGACAAAGCTATTTCATGTGCAGTTGAAGAATGGTCAGACTTGACCACAAAATGAAGTCAATTCAGACTGTTTTACACTGTCGCTTTGCACTATTATTCAGGATGGGCATTTATTGGTTTTCTAAACCCCCCAACTTATATAAACCCATACACATCATGTGGTACCAGATAATGACCACTAAGTTCATATTAAAAAAAATTTATAAAAGAGTAACAACTCTTTGTTTCTGTCTGATAATAATTGCATGAGAACTAACCTAGAGATAAATATCTGTACTCACTATGTTTAGAGCATAAATGTATCAGAACACTTAACAGGGAGTTGACCAGGGTTTTCACCAACTTTTTAAGGCTAACAAAGTAACAATCTTGAAAAGTGATAAAGAAAATCACAAAACACAGTTCTGGCTTGTATTTCAGGTTACTTTAAAAAGATGAAGTATTAATATTCAAATCACTGTGTAAAATATGACTTTGTAGGACTGGACTTGTACATTTTGTGTTATTAACAAGAAAACATAATAAAAGCAAATAAAAATAGTTACCTCTGCAGAATATACATCTGAATTGTCTTCTATCCGCCTGAATCGCTCTGCACCAGGATAGCCTATAGTCATATAAGGAAACAATGAACGATTATTGGGATAGGCATGCTATAGACTTATACAATGTTGTAGATTTACACCAAGAAAATTGCAGACATGTTACTGTTAATAATTGTCCTAGTATCCCAACAGATTTGGAGAGCTCCTGACAAAGAATCTTCAAGCCTTCTTCTGCGGGGCTCCGAATCTGTATCTCATGGGACCAAGCTAAATTCTTTATTTGTACCATGCACATTACAGACCTGAAAGTTTGTGAATTCACCCTACATGACAGCGTTTGTCCAATCAGCATGGTCATATGCGGAGTCTGCTTACACCAGCGCTGGACAAATCCCAGGAACCAGGTAGCCAATGCTCCTCAAAAATTACAGCCAGTGTCCAACTTTTGAGGTTTTCTCTAGTTGGTGTCAATAGAGCTGACAAATGGTGGCTCCTGGATTGGCTCTGAAATTCCATAATAATTTTTCCACCCCTGGCTTACACAGGGTTTTTCTTTCACTTACAGTGGTTGAAAGTAACAGTGGGGGAGCAAAAGGAAAGTAAGTATTTACTGCGGGGGAGAGAGGATTTAAAGCTAACCTGTTTTGCATCATGTGGGCAAAGAACAGATTAACTGTTAGGATAATAAAAGAATACAATCGGCCGTTATTATCTTTGAAAGTTCAGCACAAAAAAAAAGTATATATTACACATACATACATATATGCAAAGACACACCCACCCACAAACATATAAACAGCTACACTCATTATAACAATCTATTTCAAATGCTGGACATGTAGATTTACCATTAACTTTAGCGGGTTTTGATTTTGAATAGTTTTTATTGTTTTGCATCACAGGATTTCCTTCCCTATACAAAAGAAAGCAAAAAAGTGAGCAGACTTCTCAAAAAATTAACCATAACAGCTAAATAAATCACATTGCTATGAACACAATGTTGTTACAAACTACACATGATCTTCTAAATATTGATGTTCTATCCATCAAAACATGCAGAAATTAGCAACACATAGTCAAACTAGGATCCTTGTGACTGTTAAATTATAAAATAAAAGGTTATAAAAGCAGATTACGTACCTTGTCACTTTTAAAACAACAACTGGTTGAGCCAATTCAAGGGCACGCTTTGCTTCATCTAATGTCATATTTAAAGTGGTTTCTCCATTGATATAATGGATGATGTCTAGTGGCTTCAGGCTCCCTTCTTGATCAGCAATGGAGCCTGGTTTGATATTTTCTATATATAAAACCTGGGAGGGGCTATCGGGGCCTCCTGAGAGTGACAGACCTGTGTGGAAGCAGAATGATGAATATGAAGCTGGAGTACAGCCACAAGGCAAAAAAATATACACACACACGGGAAAATACAATAACATTTTATATTTTTTTAACCTAAAATACCTTTGTGGCATGTCAGAGTGACATCAGACAGGAGATGAAGCGGCACCTGTGGTTTGGGAATTTCCAAGACTCGGCCAAGCACAAGGCGGACTGTTTTGGGTGCTGCTCTCAGTAGATTTACTGCTTCAGTATGACTCATATTTGAAACATCTACATCATTAACCTGCAACAGTACAACAAAATTATCAAAAGGTTAGTGCAATGTTCTCTGCATCTAAGTTGCTCTTTGATAAGATTATGACAAAGATGGAGGACAAAGCAATGGACCTATACCAACCTTAATAAGTCTATCACCAGGCCGCAGACGTCCATCACTCTTGGCAGGATCCTGTATGATGTCATGAATGTAGCAGCCAACACAGTCATTGGCTTTGGTTACTGTAAATCCCAGGCTCCCTTTCTCTGATTTAGTCAAAGTGACGTGCAGTTCCACCTCCTAAAAAGAGACATTAGATATTCAGCCACATGATATAAAATGAAAGGTGCCAAGATTAAAATTGGTATGACATATGAATTAACAGGACGTATCATTATATCATATTACTATTTGAGTAAAACGTAAACATTTCTTGCCACAAATAATTAAAAAAAAAGGTTGAGCCCAAGTTTTCTCATGAGACCTGAAGCCTTGGCAAAGATCAAAAGGTCTCTGCCAACCAGAAGCACTGTGGGCGTTTTATGTCATTAGAGAATGCTATTTTCAGTGGAGAGTAGTAGCTAGCTTTAGTTATTTATTGCAATCACATATATGATAACTGTTTTACCTGCCAATGGATTTTCTGTCCATCCTGTACTGTGATTTACATAGCACTGCAGGACTATACAGCCAGGCTGGTGACCTGACCTCTCTATGAAGCTAAGTGAAGCAATAAAGTAAGGTTTAAAAGTCAAATTTAGGTAGCACTAGCTACATTTAAAATGCATTTGGAAATTTTTTAATAAATACATTACTGCAATACTTAGTATTTAACCCCTTCATGACTGAGGCCCTTTTTTCAATTTTTGCACCCATGTTATATTCCACATTTTAGGCCTGAAAATGACGTAAAACCCCCCAACATTATATATTTTCTGAATGCCAAGACCCTATAGAATAAAATGGTGGTAGTTGAAAATTTTTATGTTGCGCAATATTAGCGCAACTCCTTATTAAACCCCAAAATTTAGTGACAAATTTAATTAAATGCCCCAAAACACAACAAATTACCCATTTTTTTAATGAAATATAAAAGATGAGGTTACAACGAGTAAAACGATACCCAACATGCCCAGTTTACAGATTGCGTGCGACCGTGAAACGGCGAAAAACTGCAGTACCCCAAAAAGTCAATAAAAGACACTTTAAAAGCCCCCACAGGTCATCAATTTAGAAATACCCCAAAATACTGGCCCTAGGATTATTGCTCTCACTCCGGCGTGCGCGGCGATACCCAACATGTGTAGCGCGTTCGTCGTTTTCATGCGTAGGCGCACCCGACGCGTGTTTACGTGGCGACGCGCGTGCTCGCGGGGGCGGGGTACTTTTAAATTTTTTTTTATTATTATTAGATTTATTTTATTTCATTTTAATTTTAAAAACTGTTTTTTGTTTTTTTTTAAACTTTACTTTGACTGCTATCACATGGGGGGGCTTGCAAGCCCCCCCATGTAATAGCAGATGGTGGTGACAGGTCCTCTTTAAGGTGATGCTGGGGGTCCAAAAGACCCTCAGTGTCACCTTTACACTGGAAATAAGCTATTGAAGTGCAAATCGCACTTCAATAGCTTATAGCTGGGCTGCAGGAGCCCAGAACTGACAGCCCAGGGACCGGAAGTGATGCAATCTGCATCGCTCCCGGTCCCATAGAACGGGGAGGGGATCGATGAACGGACGATGCTGGCGACGTACACTGTTCGTCGTCAGTCACGAAGGGGTTAATATATGCCTTGAGTTCAGTTCAAACGTAATTTAGAGAGTAATAAGGTCCGGTACTAACAGCAACCAAATCAGGAATCTGCTTTTAGCATTGAACATGTCTACAATTTTCCTGTCATGGATTGCTTTCCAAAATGCAGTAAATCGCCTGCTTATTTCAGACTTGGGAAAGAAAGTTCACGTGTAAACTCACTGGCTCATAATCCTCAAGGTCTTTCAGTCCAAGGCTTTTGAAAGATGTTGGGTCATCAAGGAATGACTTTGAATCCATTAAGTAAGCATCAGAATCCAAGAGCTGGGGGGCACTGTCACTGGGACTTGGAGTCACATCAAGTGAAACAGGAGATGGAGGGTTGCTGTTATTGGAAACACTTTATTAAACAATTATCATTTAAGGAATTAACACATCTGCAATAATACATTTTAGCTTGATTTGCTATTTTTAGGGCTTAATTTAATAATCCTCAATTTAATACCCTAAGATGTTTCAATATAACCAAACACATACAATTCATAGCCAACACGTGTTTTAAGTATCTAAAACAAATGTACCAAATGTGCATTCTTAAAAGCCAATTAGACCCCTTTAGGAGTATTACATTACACTACAACAGTTTCCTGAAAACAGTGTGGGAGGCAGAGAATGAGGTTCTCCCTGATGCAGTTAAATTCACTAGATTCAATTCTTTTGGATGATTAGCATTAGATATAAAACTATAGGGGTGACTATTGCTACTGTGTAACTAAATTTAGCAATTAATACATCTATTAAATCCCCCTATGTATTACAGGGCTTGGACTTATAGTAGACAGGAAAACTAATTAACCCAGGGTGACTTGTGTGGCTGGCTTGATAGTGATCTTGAACTAGTACGCTGTAGTTACATATTTAGTGTGATGCTAGCTTTTGGTCCCACTCTGATGAAGGCAGCACTGTTGCACATTTTGAAATAAACTGTTATCTTGGCAACAATGCTTATACTTAGGGAATGGTCGGGACTATTCTTGTTTTTGCAAAGAAAGGCAAACCTGAGACATAGTGATTAGCAGCAATACTAACTGCAGTTATGAGTATTTGCTTTTTTTTGTGATACTTGCATAAGGCTCCGTTCACTTGCAGTGGTTTTTCTACCTTAAAAACGCTCAAAAAAAAAAGCCCAAAACAAAATCCTATTATTTCTATGGCAAATGTTCACATTTAAGCAGTTTGTCACTTGTAGCAAAATGCCCATCACTGGAAAAAAAGTACATAAGCTTCTTTTTGACAGATTATGTGCTTCTTGGCCCCATAGACTACAATGGAAATACTGAAAAACACGCATTTGCGGCGTTTTTGCACGCGCTTGCCCATTTACATCAATGTGTTACAATCTGCTCACAAAAACATGTGACAATGTATGCGCATAAACCGTGTGCAAAAACACGCATAGAGAAGAGCGAAATTGCTGTTGTCTAGGTGTGAATACAGCCTAATATTCCTAGCACACATAACTCAAAGTAAAAGCTTTGCTCTGCACAATGTCTGTTAAAAAAAC